GGAACTGTCAGGCTTACCCTGCACATCAGGCATCTGGCCCAGCCCCCAAGGCCACTAAGTGTGTGTGGAGGTGTCTGTCAGGAGGAGGACACAGGTGTGTCCATGTTCACACATCATCTCCCAGCAAAGACTTTGACCGTGCCAGTCTGGGAAGGACCAGTTCCCGCCCTGTGTCTACTGCCTCTGGATTAGTCTGGCTCTCAGGTGGGAAGCTGCTGCGTGCCCAGCCCCTGAAGTGCAACTGGCCACTGACATTCTAGTACTCTCGGTCCTGGCCTGGGGGATTACAGGCTATCTCCTTCTGCCCACACACATCTGCCGCATAGCCTGCCCAGCACAGCTGCCTGCCTGCCCATCACTGGACCAAGTTCCCACCGCGAGGACAGGGCGTGCTCCCCACATCCGCCTCCGGCCACACAGCCTGGGACGCTTTAAACCTGTGTCACTGAGCTCAGTAGCCACAGAGAGAAAAGAGACTCACAGACACATAATTAAAATCTTCGTGCTGGGCTTTGAGGAAGGTTCTGGGCGGCTCCCGCCCCTGCTTTCCGGAGTCACAGATTTTTGGTGTTGGAAAGTGATGGGAGGCTGGCGTGCCCTAAATACTCTGTCCAGGACATTTCCGCATGGCTGGGAAGATTTGGCCTCACCCATTTACCCCAGTCCTGCCTCTGAGCCCCGCCTATGCCTCACCCCCAGCAGGTCCCACCCTTGCCTCCACAGACCCTCCCAGGGAGGTCTCCCCTCAAACCCCGGTGTTCCCATGTAGGCATGCACCACCCACAGCTGAACCTGGCAGCCCAGCCTTCCACTCAGGCACAACCACCCTCTCGTCCTGACCCCACTCCACCAGCCTGCATGGCTCCTGACAGCCTCCAGACTGTGCCCTGAGTCCCCCTGCCTGGAAGGTCCTCCTCCTTCCTGCCTTTCAGACCCTGAGTCTTCCCTCCAGGTCCAGCTCTCAGTTGTCACCTCCTCTCTGAAACCCTTTCAGATTCCACCACTCCATGGACCCTCCCGTGTCCCTCAGCATCTGATCTGGGTCCCACGGAGCTTGTCAGCCCATTCGTTTCCCTTGTTCCTGTCCAGCTCCTTCCGCTCTTCCTCTGTCTCCTCGGTCTACTTGCTCTGGTTTTGTGGGGTGGTTTTCCCAGGACCCCGGTGTCCCCTGCAGTCTGGCCCCTGTGCTCTTGCCATTCTCTGCCTAACATAGTGACAGTTCACACTCAGCCTCAAGGCCCAGCTCAGATGTCAGCTCCAAGCACTGTCCCCAACACACCTCCCACCCAGGCTCTTTGGGCAGCTATTGTCTGGTGACATACAGTCTGTGGTGTCCTGTCCACGAGGTTTCTCCACTGGACACGTGGCCCCTTTTTTCTATTGGTTTTGATGTCCATTTTCCCTTTAGCCTTTGACTCCCAGGGAGGGCCTTGTCCTTGGTCTCATCTGTCTGTGGGCTCAGAGCCAGCAGGGTGCTGAGCAGGGCCAGGCGGGTGTGCAGGGAGTGGTGCACAGAGTGGAAGGTACTCTGTGAGCTCTGTTGGGGGACACCCTCCAACCCACAAACAGCCAGGGGCAGAGACTGTGACAGAGGAGGGACAGCACCGGAGTCAGCCAACTCAGGTGCCCGAGTGACGCTGGCCTTGCTTTGTCTTCCAGTGGAGCGTGACCATGCCCTAGGCCACCACGAGCCCCACTGGAAGGAGTTCCGGTTTGACCTGACCCCGATCCCAGCAGGGGAGGCAGTCACAGCTGCTGAGTTCCGGATTTATAAGCTGCCGAGCCCCCACCACGTCAACCAGACCCTCCACGTCAGCATGTTTGAGGTGGTCCCGGAGCAGTCCAACAGGTGCCTCCCCCGACTCTGCACAGCCCTCCCTCCTCATATCCAGCATGTTTGTCAGTGTGTTTGGCCCAGGGAAGGCACTGCACAGAGGACATGGGGGAATCTTTGTGGGGAGACAAGCTTCAGATAGTCAACATACAGTGGCCAGATTCTTAACACCTTTGAAAAGCCCCAGCTGCATACCTGGCTGGGGAGCTTGGTCAGGCCACCGTGCCTCAGTTTCCCTATCTGTACATGGGTAGAGGCACGGCCCTGCTGTAGTAATAAAGTAGACGCTGTGCAGATGGCCCTGAGTGGGCACAAGAAACAGTGCAGCTGTGGCAGCCTCAGTTAATTGTTCTTTCGTGTCCACAGGGAGTCTGACTTGTTCTTTTTGGATCTTCAGACGCTCCGAGCTGGGGACGAGGGCTGGTTGGTGTTGGACGTCACAGCAGCCAGTGACCGCTGGTTGTTGACCCGTAACAAGGACCTGGGACTCCGCCTCTATGTGGAAACAGAGGATGGTAAGGCCCGGGCTTGGGGCAGCCGGGCTTCTCCTAGGTCCCTTTCAGACTGGTGGCCTCGCCAGGGCCAGGTGTGACACTGAGTGAGAGACCCTCCCCAGTGTGAAGGCTCAGTGAGTTTGAGTGTGCTTCCTGGCAGCGTGCAAACAAACACATGGAGGCCCTCAGCCAGGGGATCCCCTCCTCTGCTTCTGCAGACCTAACATTGGCCTTGCTAAGAGAAGGAACCAATGCTTTCCTTCCTATGAAATGGCCAAGTCTTTGTGCTGAGCAGCCTTCCCTGCACTGAGAGCTCCCACCCTGGAGAGGGGCAGAGGGAGGAAGAGCTGGCTCCCTCCAGCTTTGAGTCTGGGTCTGAATCTCAGCTCGGCAATGCCTAGCTTGGTGACCTTGAGGGTACTGACCTCAGCAGGGCTCTGCTTTCCCACCTACAGAATAGAGATGCACTCCCCATTCACTCAGTGGGGGGTTGCCAGGGGATAGGCCTCAGGGGCACAGGTTGGTGTGGTTTGAGGAGCAGCAGGAGGGCTGCTGGGGCTGAAGCTGAGCAGGAGGGGAGACGTGGGAAGAAGATTGAGAAAGGTTGGCAGGGTGGCTTTGAGTTAAGGTAGACCAGGGCAGGTGTGTGGTGTTTTCAGGGTAACTTACCCTGTTTAATAGCAACGGGGGATGGCAAGATCTGATTCAATTTTAAAAACGAACCCTCTGACATACTTGTCCCTCAAGGAGGTGACAGAACTCACCCCCTTGTGTGGCCTGTGCTTAGTGACTTGCTTCCAAAGAGCTCAGCATGGAAAGGGCCTGGGAAAGGAACTTTCCAGTGGAGAACACTGATGATGTTCTCCAGCCTGGTGACCTAGGTTCACGTCAACGTGAGAAGTCATGTCTATAGCAGGTGCCCTTGCTGTGCCATGTAAGGATAGCCCTTCACCAAACCCACTTTCTCCAGTCTAAGCTGGAGCAAAGCCTCCCACAAATGCAAATTGAGGGGCATTCTTCAGAATACCTAAACATTGGCCTGTCTCTTTCCCTTCTAAATTGTACTGACTTTATTGCTGCTGTTGAGGATATAACAGCGAAACATATAATTGAATAGTTTCTGCCTGCACCATTTAAGGAGTCCTGGGTGTTGCTTCAGGGAAAAGCTGGAGTGCTAACTGCAAGGCCGGTGGTTCAAACCCACCAGTCTGTCTATGAGAGAAGACTGAGGCTCTGTTCCCATAAAGATTTACAGCCTTGGAAACTCTATGTAGGGTAGGTTGGGTTTTCTGCAGATGAAGAAAATGCAAGACTCAAGGATGATACCTACTTATATTTCATACATATTTTTATAGACTATACAGGCAGAACTTATACCACGTCCATAATTTCTACATGTGCAATTCAGGGACATTGACTAGATCTTTCATGTAGTGCACCAAGTCTCAACTTCTAAGTCTCCACCCTAGGTTTTAATTTTATTTATTTCAACCTGAGAAGGAAAAAGCTGGAGAAGGAGGTTTGAGGTAGGACATCAAGAGTTCTTTCAGCGGTGATAGTATTGAGGTGTTGGTTGACTTCCACACATGCAGGTAGGCCCAGGTATGGGGACCGCTGGCAGGTGAGCAGAAGTGGATAAGAACACAAGGAGTAGAACAGTATAGAAAAGGGAACAGCCTGGAGCCCTGGGGATTCTGATCTCCATAGGTCCTGCCAAGGAGGGGCCACAGGAAGGAGGGAGGGCAGGAAGGAACCAGTAGGGAGGAAGCCGGCCACCTGGAGAGCAAGGTGGCCCAGCTGCCAAGAGAAGCCTTCCCAGTAGGAGGGTGGGTCCTTTGTGAGGGCTCCTGTTAGGAGCAGGCTGATGGGACCAGAGGGTAGTCATTGGAAGCTGCTGACCTTGACCAGAGCAGCCCAGTGGAGTGAGGATGCATAGCCCAGTGAGGAGACCCTGCTGCTTTTCCAGCCCCTGTGCTAGGGGGACCCAGACCCCAACTGCAGCTGTGGGGAAGGATTTGGTGGGGATAGAGGAAAACTGCAAAACCCTTGACCAGTTCCCAGTGAGGGGGCTCTGAGCATAAGACCGATGGCTAGGTAGGCCAACACCCCTGCTATCACAGGAGGGCTGAACTGGAGCTATTCCAGGGGAATGTAGTGAGTGGGACAGGTACCAGCTCTTGGAGCTCTCAAGGAGATTAAACAAGGTCACAAGGAGAATGTTCAGTGAGGGACACTGTTACCCCACTCCCAGTCTTGTTCACCCTTAACAGTGTCAATATGTCACCCCAGTGCTTATTGGAAGGATGCTGTCAGGTCTGGGGAAGCCCCCAAGGGCTTGGTTCTGGCAGAGGCCCCACGGGCTCAGCCAGGGGGGAGGGGGCAGAAGGGACTGAATTTGTTCACTGAAAGAGGCCCTGTGCTCAGCTATGATCTGGATCATGTGGGGGTGGGGGATGGGCGTGGGAGGAGGGGGGAGGTATTTGGGGTGGGACTGGTCACAGGCCAGCATTTTCTCTTTCAGTGGGGCGGGGGTGACCAGCCCAGAATCCTCTCTCCTGCAGTGCATGGCAGGGTGAGCAGCAAGCTCAGAGCCCCATCACCAGTTCCAGCCCCGTCTGCCATGTAGCTTGGTAGGACCTTGGACTCTTTGTGCTTATGTCCTCACTACACGCAGAGGGCCGCCCCCCACCACCCCCCTCTCGCCTCTAGGTCTTCCAATCTTACTACAGAACTGCGGTGACGTCACTGTTGTGGGCGTCCGTCTCTATGATGTAGCAGTGGCTTAGGCGCCCCTAAGCCGGCTCCGGATACACCCCTACCTCCACCCTTGAGACTGCGCACCCAACATGGCTGCGCTCCGCCTTCTTTCCACGGGGCGACGGCTTGGAGCCCTAGTGGGCCACTGGGGAAGGGGAGGGTCCGGGCCCAGGCCCGCCCCCGCCCCCGCCCTGTCCACGGCTTATGCTCTCTGCTTCTCCAGCAGCCCCCACTGCTGCCAACCAGTCAAATTCTACGCAGACGCAGTAGAAGCCATCAAGGATATACCACACGATGCCACCATCCTGGTGGGCGGGTTCGGTGTCTGTGGGATCCCGGAGAACCTGATCCGGGCCTTGCTGGAGACCCATGTGAAGGGCCTCACTGTGGTCAGCAACACCGTGGGCTTGGAGCACTTTGGCCTGGGCCTCTTAATGACCAGCAAGCAGATCCGCCGAGTCATTTGCTCCTACATTGGGGAGAACACCCTCTGCGAGCACCAGTACTTGACTGGGGAGCTGGAACTGGAGCTGACGCCCCAGGGCACACTGGCTGAGAGGATCCGAGCAGGCGGTGCTGGGGTGCCCGCCTTCTACACGAGCACAGGCTATGGCACCCTGGTCCAGGAAGGAGGCATTCCTATCAGGTACTATGACGATGGCGACTTGGCCATCATCAGTAAGCCCAGGGAGGTGAGGGAGTTTCATGGCCACCATTATCTTCTGGAGGAAGCCATCACAGGAGATTTTGCTTTGGTGAAAGGGTGGAAGGCTGACCGTGCAGGCAACATTATCTTTAGGAAAAGCGCCCGGAATTTCAACCAACCCATGTGCAAAGCTGCCAACACCACCGTGGTAGAGGTTGGAGAGATTGTGGACGTTGGATCATTTTCCCCAGAGGAAATCCATGTCCCTAGCATTTATGTAGACCGCTTGATAAAGGGAGAGAAGTATGAGAACTTAATTGAGTGGGCCCAAAAAGCCGGGGTGGACAAGCACACCCCTGCCAATGATCTGAAGACCCGAATTATCAAACGGGCAGCTCTGGAGTTCAAGGACGGCATGTGTGTGAATCTGGGAGTAGGAATCCCTCTGCTGGCCAGCAACTTCATCAGCCCCAACATAACTGTCCACCTTCAGAGTGAGAACGGAATCCTGGGCTTGGGGCCGTTCCCATTAAAAAATGAGATGGATGTGGATCTCATCAATGCTGGCAACCAAACAGTCACTGTTATTCCTGGGGCCTCTTTCTTCGCCAGTGATGAGTCCTTTGCCATGATTCGGGGAGGCCACCTCGATCTGACCTTACTGGGAGGAATGCAGGTTTCCAAATATGGGGACCTGGCCAACTGGATG